ATGTTCTGGAACCAAAATCTGACTCATTTGCCCACAGATATCCAAGCCACTTCTACTTTCCCCTCAAGATCACTAAGGGGCCCTAGTGTATGCTCCTTTTAGCCTAGACAACCCTGCCCAGCTCGCCTCCTCTGTGGGCAAACCTGTTCTGTTCCTCCTGATATTTCCCTACCTCCCTCTTAGATCACGTGGCTCCACTTCACCTTGATAGGCCCCTTAGTTTTTATTCTTGCTGCCTTTGTGGTGGTGACATGGATTCCTCATCTCTCTCTCTTTGTCAAGTTTTACACAGTCCTTGGGCTCGAAACTCTCCAGCTACATTGCCAAAAATAACCATGTCCACTCCACCTGCCTCCTCCACTCTTCCTAAGGAAGGGGCTGCCTGACCTAGCAGTTGTAGGGGTGTCCCCCATTTTGTTTTTGTTTTTGTCTTCTTCCTTCCTTCCCTCCTTTCTTCCTTCCTTCCTTCCTTTCTTTGCTCCTTCCCTTCCTTCCTTCCTTCCTTCCTTTCTTTATTTTAGTTTTTCTAGACAGAGTTTCTCTGTGTAGCAGTTCTGGCTGTCCTGGAACTAGCTCTGTAGAGCAGAAATCTGCCTGCCTCTGTCTCCCGAGTGTTGGGATTAAAGGTGTGCGCCACCACCACCCAGCTAAAGGTGACCATGGCTATCATAGCACAACTCTACACTTTTTTGTTTTATTTTTCTTTTTTTGAGACAAGGTTTCTCTGTAGCTTTGGAGCCTGTCTTGGAACTCACTTTGTAGACCAGGCTGGCTTTAAACTCACAGAGATCTACCTGTCTCAGCCTCTCAAGTGCTGGATTTTAGGTGTGCACTGCCACCACACGGCTTCAGTTTGTCTTCCTCTTATTCTGCATCCCTTCACCTCACCTGGCAGTTCGAGACTACTTACCATAGCTCTTTCCTCCTAGCAGCCTTCAGGACATGCCAGACCCTGCCTAGCTGGGTCACTCTAGCCTTGAGTCCCTACCTTCTGTTATCCCACCAAGCAAGGGCCAGAGCCAGATGCCTCCTAGTCCACAAAGCCCTAGCAATCTCGCTTATCTTCCAGGCTTTGGCTAACTCCTCTTACCTGGGAAACTCAGAGGACTGTCACCTAGGGATTTTGACAAGTTACCCTCTCTATGTCTTGGTTTCCTTATCTGGCCAAAGTGGTCTCAGGTGTCTATGGGGAATTCTCATACATGGACAAGTTCAAGCCATGCTGGTGGCCTTGGCACTGACCAGTCGTTTTCCAGGTGGCTCATCTAGGCTTCATGGAAGCAGTGTCTGGTAGAAACTGGAGCATCCTCCAAGAGTATCCCCTTCACTGCCAAGCCAGGATGGGACTTTGGGGCCCACTCACCTGTCTTTAGGTGCTGCTTCTTCCTTGGCAGTAGGTGGTCCCTCCCCATTCCCCCTTCTCTCCCTCCTCCCCACAAGCTCCTCAGCAGCCCTGAGCCATGCACGCACGTTACCTCTGGTTTGGCTACTGTCCATCGCCCCATCCTGCTGCTTGCCTACAATGGAAGAGGAATGACAGACACGGAGAGACTTGAGAACACCCATGTGGTCATGACATACACAGAAGCACAGGAGAGCAGGAAGAACTTGGGCACATATAGCAGTTTGCAGCTCCATGGGGTAGAGGAGGGAAAGGAAAGGCCTGATTGCTGCAAGCCATTACCTTACCTATGGATGGGCTTTCTTGATGATCTATTCTTTCTAGGAGCAATCTGTCAGTACCTCCCAGAACATGTTAACTGCATATACTCTGGGCTTCCTGGGCCAAGCTCCTACCCAGTGTTTCCCACTGGGCCTTGACCTCCGCTCCACAGTGAGTCTCTAAAGCCAGTCCTGGGCAGTTTCTGGGTCAGGTGAAGTAGCTGTTGACAGTTTCTGGAAGGCCCGCTGCCTTAAGGTATGTACTTCCCTTAGATATCTGATCTTTCAGACCCAACAGGAGGTAACTCCCAAGCCCTGAACCAACCCAACCCCTGTACTCTTCTCTGAGGCCACTACTAGATGTGTGTCCTTTAAAGGGACAGGGTTCTGTCTGTTTTAGGGCCCTGGTGGGCACATCCAAACTGTAGGTCCAGAGCCACTGTGAAAAGGAGGTCTAAGTGGTGTGAAAAGGAGGTCAGCACTAGGGAGAAGGTGCAAATACTAGACTCCAGGTGGCTCTGTCTGAAGCCTTAGGTTGGGTACAGCCCATAGTGCCAGTCACTCTTTCTGAGGGTTGCACAGCCCAGGTGGCAGTTTGATGTGGGAGTGTCATATACCAATCTGTTGATTTCATTGGTTAAGCAATAAAGAAACTGCTTGGCCCTCATAGGTTAAAACATAGGTGGGAGGAGCAAACAGAACAGAATGCTGGGAGGAAGAGGAAGTGAGCTCAGACTTGACAGCTCTGCTCTCTGGGGCACACGCGATGAAGCTCCGACCCAGGATGAACGTAGGCTAGAATCTTCCCGGTAAGTGCATCTAGTGGTGCTATGCAGATGATTAGAAATGGGCTAAATTAATATGTGAGAATTAGCCTAGAAGAGATTAGATAGAAATGGGCCAAGCAGTGTTTAAAAGAATACAGTGTCCGTGTAATTATTTCAGGGTATAAGCTAGCCAGGTGGCCGGGGTGCTGGGGATGCAGCCCCGCTGCTCGTATTACTACAGCAGTTAGAGGAGTTTATCTGGGAGCCACATCTTCACTGGTCCCCATTTAGGGAGGAATCTTCCAGCACAGGATCATTTTCTACCCAGTAGCTCATGTCACTGGGGAATCAAAAGACAGAGTATCGGGTAGCTTCTAGGCAATGGAACCACAATCTGGGGTCCCAAGAATGAGAGAGACATCTTCAACCATAAGCAGATCATATATTGGACCCTCTTTGCCCAGGGCCCCTGTGTGGGTTAGGGGTAGTTTAGAGGTGAAAGAGACTTCTTTTATTTGTGTGTGTGTGTGTGTGTGTGTGTGTGTGTGTGTGTGTGTTCATGCATGTGTGAGTGCATGCGTGGGCCTATGTCTCTTTTATTTGTGTGTGTGTCTGTGACAATGGAGGCCAGGAAAGGACATTTGGGGCCTCTGGAGCTGGAGTTGCAGGGGGTTGTGAACTTCCCAATACTGGTGCTAGGAAGCAAAGTGAACATGACTAGAAGAGGTAGCCTGGAGTAAAGCAGAGCACAGGAGGCGAGGGAGGGACTCAGGAAGAAAAGGGCATATAGGAGTCATGAGAAAAGATAGCAATAGAATGTAAGGGTGGCAGGTTGACAAGGAACAGCTTCAGAGCATGCCCAGTGGGTTGACAGAACCACAAGAGTAAGATGAGGGCACTGGCCAAGATAGATGCTATTCCTCAGAGCCCCTCAGGGTACTTCTCCAGGAAGCTGGCCCACTCCAGTTCCCTAAGTCTCACAGCCAAGCAGTGTTGGTGAAGTGCATGCAGCTTGTCTTGGAGGGTCTGGATGAAGAAGATCAAGTTCAATGAGGTGGGAGTGGCCTAGGCCCAAGCTGTGAAGACTATCTAAGAGATAGAACAGGAGGCTAGGAGCTTGGAAAGGAGCCACCAGGGACACCAGGAAAGTGCAGGTGATAGCAGCTCAAGGGAGAGACCATTGGCTTCAAGGGGAGGGAGTGGATTTCCTAAAGGGATTTATGTGGAAGGCGTGTCCTGTCAACCTAACAGAACCAAGAAGACACTAGGTAAGGTCATCATGCCTGGGGACTCAAACTAACCTATCATTTGTCTTTGTATTCCTGGAGCACACATTAAAGTTGTGGGATAACACTGGGAGGGGCTCAGTGGAGATTGGGGACTTGGTGCAGGTGGCAGAAGACCTGGCCTGTCAACATCAGGGAGGTGCCCATACAGGGAGGCACAGGACCAGGCTGCCAGGGAATAAGGATAATAGAAGCTTCTCAGTGATTGTAGCCCTGACAGTCATTTCTCCAGGCTCCCAGGGACAGGGGACCTCAAGAAGTAGCCTAAGGCCAGGACTATTAACTTGTCCTTCCTCATGCTGGTCTGTCCCTGTATAGACTGTGGCTCCAGGTCCTCTAAGACGGGCGGGCATGCATCTGGAAGTATCTGCTCCATAGTCACCTGGGGCTGTGGAAAAGAACCAAGGGCAGACTGCTCACCAGAGCTAGGGTGTGTGCCTGAGTCACAGAGGAGCAGGGTCTGACAAGGGGAAGCTCTGTAACTCCATGGTTTTGAGTGCCATGGCTGGAAGGGGTGGTATAGTAGCTTTCGGCCAGGGATCTCGGGGTCATAAGGAAGCTGGACTCTCCAAAATCTTCTGTTTCTATCCATTGCTATCCTCAGAGACAGGGCTACCACTTTCTAAAGAGCCTACCTTGCCCACCCCATCCGGCATCCCCTGGCCCTGGCTGTTATTTTGAGACCTATCCCTATCTGCTCAGAAGACTTCCACTTTAGATTTTGTGAGCACCCCCGAATCTTCCCTATGGAAGTTGAGTACTTTGAGGGTGAGCTTGAAGATCCCAGCAGTACCTTTCAAAGTTGAGATAAGAGGTTACATTTCTGTGAGCACACTTTACCCCAGGGACAGATGTACCAAAGCCATCATAGATTAGCCGTCTAAGGAAAGTTGCCCCCTACACAAGGATTATTGACCTGCTGACTCTTAGAAAAAATACCAGAAGGATCTTCAAGAAGAATTAGAAGAAGGTGGTGGCTTCCCACCCATCTCCCTGGAGCCAGGATTGGCCAGCAGGCAGATGAAGAAGCAAGGACATTAACATAAAAGGAAGCTGTCTCATCATCTCTGGACATTGGAATCATGGCTGCCTTACCTTTCTTGTCTTTCTTCTCCTCCTCCTCTCCACCAGCTCCAAGCAATGTAAAGATGATGCCTGTCTGGGAGTTCACGCCAACAGCTGTTACCACCATTCTTCCAGAACCTTCCATGACATGAGTGCCTGGCACAGAAACATAGAGGAACTAAGACAACCTGGTAGGACACGCTCAGCACCCATATGCTGGCTCTTAGGGTTTCCCTGAAGCAGGTACTTCTCTTGCAGAAGTCACTGCAGCTGTTGACCCCTTCATCTAGACTGCAGCCTGTTTATAGGCTTGCTGTAGTGGGAATGAGCCAAAGTACCACAGACTGGCGGGTCTTTGTCAGAAGCACAGTCTGAGCCATTACGGGGCCCACCAGGGGACCTCTGGTTTTTCTGTTCGGTTTCATATTACATTTCCCATTAAGATAAAAGTGTGCTGAATTTGAACCTTCTAGAAAAGGAACAAAACATACATGGGGTCATCTTCAGAGTCTATATGTAGATGGAGCACACTATTGACCCCAGAAAGCCCTCCCCTTGGGATGTCCCATTCATGATATCAAAGGTCCTCTTGAACAGTGGAGTATCATTTCTTTGTCCTGTGGCTGGAGCCACACCACCAGGCCTCCAGTGACCTGCTCTGGCATGGCAGTGGGTAGCATTCTCAGAAGGGCTATTCAGGGAGTTCTTAGTTAAGGCAAGTCCACCAGGATGGCTTGCCTGGGGATGCTAGGGCCAGGTTTTCAAGCAACCTTACCTGGGCTGTCTGAGAAGGTAACCCTTACCTGAGAGCAGCATAGGGTCTTTGTCTGCTGACTTGCGCACATGGTCTGACTCGCCCGTCAGGGAGCTCTCATCGATCTTGAGGTCATTGCCTTGGATTAGCACACCGTCGGCAGGCAGAAGGTCTCCTATAAGCCAGCCCAGGCCAGAACTGAAGGCTATGGATCCATGGGTCCTCCCTACCCTTTCCTCTTCCTGCCTTTCCTAGGGGAGGTCCTATCATCTGGGAGAGGTCTGGGGGTCTCTCTTCTTTCTGCCTCCTCTTTTGTGTGTGTGTGTGTATGGGGGGGATCATCCACATCTAACCATGTTGTCCAGCTCTCAAATAACAGGGACAACACTTGTATCCTATAGTAGTAGAAGAATACCTCTCCAGAGGCTGAGGCCAGCTTGCTTCCTATGGGTACTGTTGTACCTCAAATTTCTTTTCTGCCCCTAATCACACCCCGCATGCTCCAATCCCAGGCCCCTGTAGGGGGAAACACACAGACTACTGGGGAGACAGTCTAAGCTGGGGAGGTTCCTTTGGCTCACCCTTCTCAGAAATGGCATTCAGGCTTTCTTGGCAGGGTAGAAGAAGATGGGTACACTTACCGTATTTGACCTGGGCAATGTCCCCCACCACCAGTGCTGCCACAGGGACCATTTCGGATGACAGTAAACTTCTGCTCTTGCTCAATACGGCTCTGAAGACCTCGGAACTGCTTTTCCTTACTCCAGTCATTAAAGGCCGTGACCAGCACCACACAGATGACAGAGAGTAGGATGGCAGCCCCTTCGATCCAGCCAGCCTCAGCCTCTCCCTCGTCCTCTGCCCCACCAGATACATTCCCACAGGCTGTGACCAAGGATGGAGGAGAACATGAAGGAGATGTAAAGTCATGGAAACCAAGCGCTGGGACCCCCCTTTCTAGCCCAGAGCCTCGCCCCTTACCTTCACTTTCCTCTCCAGGTGGTGCATAGAAGGAGAGGCCCAGGGAGACGATGGCAGCCACCTCCAGGATGATGAGAGTCACATCCTGCAGGGTTTCCCATACCAACTGCAGGAAGGTCTTGGGCTGCTTGGGAGGGATGAAGTTCTGCCCATAGATCTGCCTGCGTTTCTCTAAGTCATTGGTGTTGTCTGCCAGACCTACACAGTGTGCCGGGAAAATGACAGAAGCACAGAAGAAGATGGCACAGGCTAGCCCTTGGTACCATAAGCATCTCTGACTAAGCTGCTGCAGCAGCAGCAAGAGTGCCCCTTGTGGCTCTCTAGCTAAAGCCTGCCTCTCTGGAACTCCAGAGTGGATGCTTAGAGAATGCAGAGTGGTACAGGCCAAGTGCTACAAGCCTTTCTGCAGGCACAGGACTAAGCATAGGGGACCAAGCACAGCCCTCATAGTGAGTACCCAGCCTGAGGAAGAGATGGTAACCCAGGAAAAGGGGCTATGTATATCCTGATGCACTTATAAGACAGCAAGTCTAGGGAAGGAGGTCTTAGGCCTGTAGATGTCTCAATTGCTGAAACACTAGCCTACACTCTGCACCATTCATGTCTGCTGTCATTTCTGTGTCAAAGTTATCTTTGAGGGATGCTTGCAGGGAAGCGCTAACACCCAACAAAGGAAAGGACAGCAAGGACCCAGGAGGATGCTATGTGGCCAAGGGTAGCTGAGATAGGAGCAGAACAGAGCACCCAGGGGCTCCTTGGGTTGAGGGTGAGTAGAGAGGTGAATCAATATCTAAGTGGCTTCAGTGGATTTGTGGGGAGGTTACCAATGAAGGGGATCCAGGTAATATTAGCCCAGTTTCACCCAAGTGCCAAAGAATTGGCCAGGGCCCTCTCTAGAGGGATCGGACAAAGTTATCTGTCTCCTAACACTTAAACTCCATGTCTTCTTGAGAGTGCTGGTCACTAGGCCCCACACATGCTTGAAAGATGGGACTGTGTTTGAGACTCTGGCACCTTGAAAGTGAGGCAGCCTTTGGACCTTGGCCACCCTACCCTATGGCCTACCTTTTCCAAAGACATGCAGGGCTACCCAGCCTGATCTGCAAAGGGGGCAAGGCACAGGGGAACCAGGGACATGGATGTATCCAGGAGCATAGCTGTTGAGGAAGATAGAACAATGTCTTCTGGACATGGATGGAGGCCTACTTTCTAGAAGTTTCCCAGGGAAAGCTCAGAGAGAATGAGTGTGAGAGCAAGTTCTTAGTTCCAGAGATCTACATAAGGTCTTATGAAAGGGAGGCTTGGAAGTCCTTCAAGGTGGAAGTATGGGGCTTGCAGGAAGAAACGAAGGCAGAGGTTTATGGCTTCTCATAACTAGCTGTTGCTATGGGGAACTGATCCTCTAGGTCGTGCAGGGAGCCTGTTCTGCAGTGGGGGAGGAAGGACTCCATTTACCAGCTCCAGAGGCGGCTGGAGTTTGAAAGGACCAGCACCAGGAAAGGACAACAGAGTTCCACAGGGCCAAGATACCATGACACAGAGTTGAGGAGAGGATGACCCAAGGTCTGGTGCCCACAGTGCCCGGGAAATGCCCAGGCACGTGGCTCCCAAATACCCAACACCTTCTTGGAATTGGCGATGGGGATGGCCGAGACTAAGGGGACTGTCACTGACTCATACAGAGAACAGGAGAGGAAAGGAGAGGAAAGGGGAGGAAAGGGAAGCTCCTCTCAGGCCTAACATGAGACACTTCGATCACTGTAGGGTCCAAGGGCAGAGAAGTCCTTAACTCATGGCTCCAGGACCGTGGAGGTAACCTCCATGTAGATCTCAGACAAGTGAGAAATTGTCACAGCCTTACCCTTAGCTGGCAATCTTCTCTGCAGGCTGATCCAGCCCCTCCTTAGGTTCACCCAGGCCTCCAGTGCTACACCCCAAAGGGACCAGCTCTACACTGACACCTAGTGGTGGTAGGTTGAAGTTCCCACCAGAGTCATTGACATAGCTTCTACCACCTGCTGAAGGAGCTGAGTGGTGATCAAAAGAGCCATCTGGTCCATGGAGCATGCACAGCAGGCGGAGTTTAGGAAAGCAATAAGACTCAGCCCCAGATCGCTCATCAATAAGGAAGTGCTGACAATGGGCCTTCTCAGAGGAGCAGGGAGGAGCTTAAATGAAGGACTGACAAGAGCAAAAGTTGCAAGCAGCACAGCCTTGGCACGTCCATAGCATCCAGCCACAGTGTCCTTCCCACCCAGAAGGGCTGCAGCTGTCCCTGCCTTTCTCTCCCTGCCCTCATTGAGCCTGGGCTGGGCTGGCATCTCAGATTTCTACTAGGGCCAAAGACCTCTTTCTGAAGTCCCACAGCTTTCCTAGTAAGGTGTTAGGAAGAAAGGCTGGGCCTCCTCAGCTTTCTCCCTACCCCCACCCCAGCTTTCCCAGTAGGGTATCTGGGAGACCTCAGTCTTTTCCCCAGATTGAGCCTTTTTGCCTTCAACTGCAGGAGCTATGAAAGACTCAACATTACAAGGGATGCACCAGAACTCTAAGCTCTAGACACTTGGGGTCTACACTGCCCTTGGCCTGGAGCCCCCAGAGAGGGGAAGTGATCCATTTTAGCTTCTAGAAAGCCTGAGACCCATGGCACCATGTGACTCTGCTTCCTGATTGTCCTGCTTCACATGTCCAGACTGTTCCCAAAGCCAATGAGGCCCTTAGTCCCTTTCCCACAGAAATTCGCTCCTTCCCCTCCTCTGCCTTGTCCTTGGATTGCTCTTGCTATTGCAGCAATTCCCCTCCCCTCCTCTGCCCAAGACTAGCACTTGCCTTCAGATTGAGCCTTGGCCTTTCTGTAGGGTTGGGGGTCCCAACAGCTGTCACAACTGCCATGGTACCATTGCTTATGGGTGTGGTAGAGAAGGCAGCTCTGGTCCTTCTGGTTTCAAACATGTGCCCACCTAGCAGGCCCAAGACATGGGGAAAGAGGCTGGGCGGTTGGCATGGACACAGATGGGCTGTTTGCCCAGAGCAGAGGCCAGATGCCATCAGAATTGGATTAGGACCACACTGTGTCAGCTCTCAGCTCATCTGCCCCCTTCTTCTTTTGACTGTCGGTGGAGAGCAGATAAGACAGGGGCAGGGTGCAGAGCCCCCTAACTAGCCTACCAGGAGGTTCCTGACCAGCAGGCAGACTCTTTTTCAGGATGGGTTCTAGAATCCTTCTGAATCTCTGCAGAGGTAATAACTGCCAAAGTCCCCTCCACCAACATGCCACATACCTACCTGGCCCGCTTTTCCTCTGTCAAACCCTTTCTGGGCCCCCAGAGGATTGGCATGGGGCTGGAAGTACAGTTAAGTCTGCCCCTTCCATTAAGAAGGCCTGCTGAGGAGCCTGCCTGCTCCAGGCTTGCTGCTTGCTGCGCTGAGGAAATGGGGGGAGTGAGAATCACCTGCTCCTGGCCCCAGACAGCTGGGCCCTAGGAGCTAGGGGGAAGGGCTGGTCCCTGGGCTGCCATGGGGACATAGGGTCTCAGAGGCCTGTCAGGGACTGAGCCACCCACCTGGGCACCTGCTCCTCTACATGCCCACCACATTTATAGGCATCAGACAAGCCTTGGAGCTCTGTGGCAGAATCGGGCAGGTTCCCAGGGGCCTTGACATTTTAAATATTTAACAAGGCCTGACAGGCAGAGGGAAGAGCTGCCAGCCAAAGCCCATCTGCTTCCTTTGATCTGGGAGAGGCCAGAGCCCTTGTAGCTAAATGACCCTCTACCCCAGCCTTCTTAGAGGCCCCCAGTCCTCAGGGGGGTGGGTGGGCAAGGAGGAGGACGGAAAGAGAGCCTTTGGCATGAAGCCCAGCCATCTGTCCTGGCAGAACAGTGCTTCAGGCTGGAGTATGTGTGTGTGGTGGGCAGGCTGAATAGATTATTCATGGATGGAGCAGCTCTGCAACTCTACAGTTAAGGAAGATCCAGATGGCCCCGGGAGGCCACCTTGCCTGGAGTTCTTAACCTGGCCCTTGGGCATGCCTTCTTCCATTTCTAATACTTCCTTGGGCCCATGCACCACTTCCTATGGATACATGATGCTTTCTTCAATCCACCTAGGGCAAGGCTAGAGTAAGAGCATCTGGTGTGTATCTTAGAGGCTCCGAATGGGGGCAAGGGCAGAACAAGGAGGCTTGAGGTGATGAGCATGAGTGTTGCAACCAAAGGACTGATTTAGAAACAAGAATGGGCAAGGCCTGGTAATGGGAGGGACAGAGGAGCCAGGGAGCCGGAAGAACCCAGGTGGTGGCTAGGACTTGCAGGACTGGGTAGGCCAAAATGCCACTACTGAGATGGGTGACTGATAAAATCAATTAGCAGTGTCTGGGAAGCAGGCCTGGCATCAGGTTGGGAAAGCTCCCACAATCCTGCCAGGCCAGTGTCAGATGAACCAAAAAGGGTTCCAACTCTTGAAATCTGGGGCTAGATTTGGCTCTTTGGTGACCCTAGTCTCACAGCAGACCAGGGAGTTGAAAACCTAAGAGGACAGTCACAGAGTACCCGCTCTAGATACTCTAGAGGACTCTCACCATGTTTCTTCTCTGGAAGCCCACCCGTGTGGTCCTGGCAGTGCCTCAGACTTGCACCTCACTGGGACAGCCTGCGGCTGCTGTCACTATGTATGTGTGTGTTCATCTATGCTCATATGTGCTTATGACCAAAG